GGGGGCCCCCCTGAAAATTTTAGGGGGGCCAAAAAGTAGCTCCCTTTGACCTAGGAATATCCCCCAAGTTTCAAATCTTTACCTCAATTAGGTAAAAAGTTAGAGGGGGTGGAAGGGACTTTTGGATCACCCTGTATATTCGTGGCGCATTTTGAAACAGCTACGCGCACGCGCCCACGCGGCGCACGAGGGGGGGGGGCAAGATGAGACTGATGGCGTGGGAAGTTGGGAGTGCGGGGAGGGGGGGATACTGTTGACAATGTAGTGGCGAAATATTGTAGACCCAGGGGCGGCAAAATGTAGCTTGCCCAGGGGCGGCGAAAAGCTAAATCCAGCCCTGGTTCTCATGACATCAGGGTCGGACTGGCTCACATCTCCGGGCGTAGTGCTTAGACCCTCAGCCAGCTAAGGGGGTGTGAAGTGATATTTTGCCCATCCCGACGTGAAGGGCGAAGGGCGATCCAGAAATTTCTGGCAAATCAGCACAAATTTACGCTTTTCTCAAGTTCAAAGTTTATTATAAGTAATCGCACAGAGTAAAAATTGCAAAATTGAACACTTTTAAGTAACCGGGAGACTTGTGAAATGAAAAAAAATAATGATAAAATCAAAGCTAGGCACCAGACGCATCCATGCATCATTTTTTCCAGAAGAATCGAGTCAGAGCTTGCAACCTATAATAGGTACTGTTTTTAAAAACTAGAAGTCAGAAAATGATGCATCATTTTCGGGTTTTTGGGTTCATGAACCCGAATAGGTATGTAGGTACGCCGAAAAGATATTTTCAACCTCATCGAAAAATGAAACCTTCAATCTAGAAAGTTCAAGGTGAAAAGTTGAAGGAGAGAGAACGTGTTCAGTAAGAAAACTAAAAACAAAGAGATGCCTAGAAATACAATCATGTATATTAAATGCACCAGAGATCTAAAGCAGGCTGGAGGACGACAACCATTTTCTTGGCAATGCCATTATTTTGGGACGTCATCGTGCATTTGAAGCTTAATTTTGCAAGATTAAACATATCTAAATTGTATTCAAATTCACTGACTGATTGTAAATGGCTTCCTTTGGCTTCCCCCTTGATTCCAGAGTTTTTGGCGAACAAGGTACAGTCATAGGTATTTTAATGATATTTTCATTGACCCTCAGATGCTGAAGCCCGGTCAAATTGACAGAGGAGTAGAGGAGACTTGTTTACAAAACTATAGGTAGTCAAGCGAGTTGTGAGGGACCGCGGTACAAGTACTCACGAGCCGTAGATGTAGGCCTGTATTAAACAAAAATCGAACTTCAAATTGTAAAAAGAAGAAAAAATTAAGGAAGAACAGAGTCGAGACGTAATCGGGCATTTTAAAGTATTCTCTCGAATCTGAGCGACACCTCACTGGCAGCATAGAAATGAGCATTGCGTTCACGCATAGCGCCATTCAATTTTGTAGATGCAACACAGACATCCATCATGTACGATTAGTTGTATCTCTGCGCCGTCATCAATGCGCCTCCTTGTATTTTGCTCTCTTTTCATACTGTGTTTGTTTCAGTTTGTCTTATTTGTATTTTTAGCGGTGCGCTTTAAAGACTGAATAAAGTAACACAGCCGTAAATAGGAAAGCCGTAATAATCGAGCCTCGTTTCTTAACTTTTCTCACGACACCTCATTGGCAACATAAAGCGGGGCTGCGGAACATCGCGAATTCACAGCTGGCGCCATCGCGCCTTCAATTTTGCAGATGCAACACAGACATCCATCAAGCACGAATAGTTGTATCTCTGCGCCGTCTTTCCATTCGCTCTATTTCCATACTGTGTTAGTTTCGTTTGTCTCATTTGTAGTAGTGGTACTTCAAGGGCTGCGTGAGCAACACGGCCCAAAATAGTAGGTGCCCTAAATCAATTATCATTTTGAGAAGAACGCAAATGTTAGAGGTCTCTCAAGCGATTAAAAGGGCGCACGTGCACGTCTAAAAATTGACTGTACTACCTCTTCTGAGAGAGTGACACATGGCGGATAAGGAAGGGGGGTGATAAGCGTCTCTATCCTACCAAAAAGGTGACAATTTCCCAGGAAAGAATTTTTTACCCATCTTAGAAATTTTATGTATAGGTATTTTGACACTTTACAAAAATTCGAGAGCCAGCTTGATTTCCTCACTTAATGACGCTCATCATCCCCTTTTCGAAAACTATAATCGGGATAAATTTTAGCCTCAGAGCTAATTTTACGACGGAGAGTGACCAAATTTTCGCGTAATAGCGAAATGTAAAAGCGTAAAGTGTAATAGCAGAAGTTAACGCACTTTATAGTCGAATGTTTGCTAGTGAGCGACATAATTGTTATTCATTACAACTTGAATAAACCAGTATGTCCCAATTGTTCACATTATCCTATTAAAAATATTGAGCTACGGATACAAAATCTGAATCCAGCAAATAAAAAAAACCAAAACATCAATTTTCCAGCATTTCAATGTAGGCCCAGGCACCTCTGGGGACTTATTTCTGGTTTACAGCTCCAGGACCTCCATTCATCATTATCATACGTACGAACAGGACCTTTCTTTACTCTTACTGTCTTTTCTCCCGTTCATTTATGAATTTTCCGCATGAGGCGTATCTGCCAATGGAAGATTGGCCTTATGGCCAGTCCGACTCTGCATGACATTATCGCGTCCAAAGGAAGCCACGAATTCCATGTAGAGAGGGTTTGTGAAGATACACCTTGAGCGTTTATTGTTCGTGAGCTGGTTGGCATACATTTTCTAAAGGCTATCAACCAGTGGCGTGGCGTGAATTGCGATGTATCGATTGTTATGCCATTTACACTTATGGTAAAGAATCGATTATTAAGGTGTTCGTTGCGAACACCCTGTTTATCGATCCTTTTCCATAGGTTTAAATGGCATAACAATCGATATATCGCATAGCACGCCACGCCACTGCTATCAACTACCAGGAACATTTATTTACCTACGACCGTAAAGCTCTTAGTGAGACTACCATTCATGGACCAATGGAACATACATCTTCCTTAAACCAAAAATACATGCATGGCCAAACTCTCCCTTTACAGGCACCAGAGTCAAATTGAGGTGAATCAAATTGGGTGCTGAGTGCACAATGCTAATTCGACAGGCCCACAGCCCACACGCAAGCTTACAAAGTAGAGAGCTACGAACCTAAGCACGAAGCTGCATAGATTCTGGTTAAAGTATTCGTAGATCTAACTAGCGACTGGTTAAAGTATTCGTAGATCGAGGAGCAACTATGCGCCACATAAATTATGATGGGTAAAGGGTACCGGTATAATCATTCAGCACTAACGCTCATTCGAACGTGCATAACTTTGGAGACTTAAACGCAGAGTAAGAAAAGTAGATGAGTGCGTAAAAATATCGTTGGCACCTGGCACGAAGGATACGAATGGTACGAATGGTACGAATGGTAGCATTTGACACAGGAAAACCCTTCTTCGTTCAACCGATCTGCTCCTTCAATCGGCTCCATTCAATCCCCGCCCTAGAACCTTCCCCGTTTGCCGCTCCGAGTGTAGCATGGTGCAACGAAAATATTTAAATAATTTCGTGCGATGAAATTGCTATTACATACTTTTTTACCGGATAACCGAATTGTTCAACGCCTTCATTTAAAATGTCTAAGCGCTTACCCTACATCATAAAGAACGCACCCACCAAATGTTCGCCTCAGTATTGCTTAGTTTCTGTTTAAAACAAAATGTGAGAAAAATGTTTTTGTGTTTTTTGCAGCTGACAATTTGCTTGTAACAGCTCGAAACGTCCTGCCGTTAATGTTTTCAATGTTTTAGCCTTGCTTATCCATGTATTAATTCCCTCCCTATTTATTCAAGGGTTTCACCATTACGTCATTTTGTCACAGGTTTTACGCGGAAAGCTTTTTCATTGACTTCTTAAAAATATTTGACTTGACGTTGATGAAATCACTTCAGTGACAATAGTCAGAGTCGGACTTGAGTGTCCAGTTTGAAAGTCAAAGTTTCCCGGGAAAGCCAAGTGCTGGGATCGGGCACGTTCTCGGTGGCTCTTCTAAGTGTGAGTGACTGAGTGATAATCATTTATACAGGGTGATCCAAAAGTCTTTTCCACCCCCTCTAACTTTTTACCTCGTTGAGGTAAAGATTTGAAACTTGCGGAATGTTCCAAGGTCAAAGGGAGCTACTTTTTGGCTCCCCTGAAATTTTCAGGGGAACCCCCCCTTGGGGGGCAACGGATCCCAACTTTTTTTTTAAAATGGACGGACCCCCTTCGTGATGGCTCGTTCGAAAGAACATAAAAAAAGAAAACTTTTCGCGCAAACCCAAAGCCAATATCCCAAACCGTTTCAAAATGACGGCCGGTTAAAGTTCAAAATGGCCGAAACTTCACAACAGTTATTTTTAGATGGATTTGCGCGAAAGTAGCTTAGGTAACTGGAGGTATTTTGACACGAAAAAAACGAATCTGATGTTAGATTTTCAAAAAAAACCAAAATTTCCAAAATGGTCGCCGGTTAAAGTTCAAAATGGCCGAAAATTGCCACCTCGGTTTTTTGCTGATAGGTTTGCCTAAAACTTGGAACTTGAGGGTATTTTGGCTTAAGATTAACACATCGGAACTTAGATTTCTAAAAAAAAACAATTTTCGGTCATTTTGAACTTTAACCGGCGGCTATTTTGGAAATTTCGATTTTTTTTAAAAAATCTAACGTCAGATTCGTTTTTTCGTGTCAAAATACCCCCAGTTTCCTATCTTCGCGCAAATCCATCGAGAAATAACCGGTGTGAAGTTTCGGCCGTTTTGAACTTTAACCGGCCACCATTTTGAAACGGTTTGGGATACTGACGTCGGGTTTGCGCGAAAAGCTTTCTTTTTTTATGTTCCTTCGAAAACCATCACGAAGGGAGTCTTCCCATTTGAAAAAAAAAGTTGGGGTCCGTTGCTCCCCAAGGAGAGCCTCCCTGAAAATTTTAGGGGGCCCAAAAAGTAGCTTCCTTTGACCTAGGAACATTCCTTAAGTTTCAAATCGTTACCTCAATTCGGTAAAAAGTTAGAGGAGGTGGAAGGGACTTTTGGATCACCCTGCATGTGTAATACATAAAAGTTTACCGAGAAAGTAGATTCCAGCAGAGCATTACCGGGAGAGGAAAAGTTCGACTTGTAGCTCGACCCCTAGTCCAGATGAGACGTTATAATTTCAGCTCTTTCGCATGGCCTCCTCGAGCATCTTCTGGGTCTCCAGGTCGAACTTGGACTTCATACCGGGGTCGCGTCGTCAGGTTTCTTGGTCCCCTCAAATTCGAGGATCTCCCCTAGCGGGTGCTGGGCGAACCCCCACAACGGGTCGCCCTGCTTCTGATCGGTCACGCGGTAGAAGATCTCGCAGTGGCGTGACGGGGTCAAATTGATAAGCATGGCTATCTTAGTCTTGACCAGGATCCTCGGGCGCATATGTTCGTACACGTCCTCGCACCCTCGGTCCAGCATCGCGTAAAAGGTGTTCGATGCCAACTTGTGCTCGATTCCCTGCCGGTTCTCGATGATGATCCCGACGCTCTTGCCCGTGACGAGGAACACGTCCAACTCGTTGGAACAATCGAAACCGTCAGCTTCCCGTTCAACGACCAGCTCGAAGTGGACGGAAGGATACTGCTTGGCCAGGGTGGCGTTGTGCGCGAATATCGCCTCCATGGCCCCCGTCATGGAGACCGGCCAGCTCACCTCGTCCCACGTCCGGCTGAAGATCTTGTGCGTGGCCACCGCCAGGTCGTGGAAGACCTCTTTTCCGGGCAGGTCCAGCAGGAACTCCCCGAACGCATTCAGCTGGTCCCAGGTTTTACCCAGCACGAACTGGTAGTAGTTGGAGGCGGTCAAGTACTTCCTCAACACTTTGCGAGCCTCCAAGGTGGCGGGGGTCAAGACGACGTCCTCGATAATGGTCACCATGTCGAGTTCTGACGTCACAACTCGAGCGTGAACGATGCTAACGATGTCGTCCGCGCTTGCGAAGGTGTTGATCTTGGAGCGCATGCCGCAGTGTAGGCGGTCCACGTGTTGGACACCCAGTCTCCCGTTGCTGAAGGTGTATCTGCGAGGGAGGTGTACCTTTTTCTTTTTCACCTTGTACAACACGCGTTCGACCTCTCGACCGATCACGCCATTCTCCAAGATACGATCACAGCCGTCGAGACCTTTGAATAAATTTGAACTGTTCGTATGCCACCTCTGCTCGAGGAAATCGGTGATAGAAAGAGGGTTGTAGAGGGTTAGATTCGGAGAGTCTATCACCCTGTAGCCCATGTACAAGCTTCGCAGTTGGACGTTCTTTTCACGGATCTCGAAAGTGTCGAGGAGGTTGTCGACATCCTGTCCGGTGAATCCGAAATACTGGGCGATGGTTCCGTTCTCAAAGGCGAACAGGTGTTTCGTATCGTTCGTCAAGGTGGACAAGACACCACCCAGGGTCAGAGACCCTACCATTAAGGATTTCTTAACCTGTGGTGAGTCCTGAACTAGTCCCCGCAAGAACTGACCGAAATAATTGTGGATTTTTTCTTTGTCTCGCCCTGGTCCGATCATGTAGTTGTGGAGGATTGCATCAACGTTGTCGATCAGCACGATAACTTCGAGGGCGAAACGCCAAGAAATAGCCTCGATGAGATGTTTCCCTGCGTCAAAGATCGATAACTTATATTCATTATAGTGGTCCACTAATGCTTGAGCGGGAGTCTTCTTGCAGTCAAAGTAGGAGAAATTGAAATGACTGCGGTATCTATCGTGCATTTGGCAGACCACCTCAGCAAGAGTTCTATTGAAAGTTTCGACGTCCTCGACTATCTTGAAGGGACTGAAGTCCACGTGGAGGACTACATACTGACGATAGTGATCCCAAAAGAGTGGGTTTCCGTAGAATGTCGTGCCGTGGAAGAGCGGATCGGTAAACTCTTCCTCAAGGGCTGATTCTTCACTTTCAAAGTAAAGTCTCAACATGTCCAGGTTCACCGACTTTCCGAATTTAGGAGGCACTGATATGTGGATTGTAGAATAAGGCATATCAAGGAACAGTCCGATGAAGTTGGTCTTGTCGACGAACGTATAGCTTGGGCGCACACGAGCATAGTCTCCTGCGACAGGGACGGCAGCCTTTGAACAAAAAAAATGCAACCTAATTATGAATTTAGATTCAGAGAGCATTTTTTTACTAACGTTTTATCTATGTTGCACGCGGGCGTCATTAGTGCACATGAAGGTATGTATGATAGGATTGATAGGGTGGCCCTACTTTTGAGTTTTTCGAAATTCAATGGATGCAAATGGTGCCTTTTGGTACAAAATGAACAGGAAAAAAAAAATATTTAAAACAAAAAAAATTTTAGTGCTGTTGCCGGCCTCCGGAAATTACACCATACGAGGAAATTCGAGCAGTTTCCGCCTTTGCGCACCTCTTCACGAGTTCACGCATGCAGTATGCCACAAACAGTTTTCAAATTAAACATGTGGGACACGTCTTGTGTGTGTTTTTCGATTTTCTTTGAAGTTTCCTTTCGAGATATTAAAATTGTCTACCAATATATTATTAGCACAAAGTTAACCAAATAGGTACGTGATTTTCTTTGTGACTTTTCGCATTTATCACGATTCGGCATCCCTGGTCAATTGTATAAACAGCGGATGTCGAGTTTTTAAATTTTCAGAAAAGTTTTCAAATGTATTTCGATGAATTTTGCATGTATGCAACAAACACACTGGGGAGTGTGAATGATTATCTATTCGAAAAACACACATTACCCTCGGTCCATCAGCACCCATAGAACCAATAGACCATGCGTAAACTTATTGATGTATAACGGTCGCCTGAATTTTGCCGCATGGATGACAAAATTTATGGTTGTTAAACTGAAAACGGTTGTGCAGATTTTTGCACAAATTTCAGTGAATTTTTGGCATATCACGAAACAAATTCCTTAAAATTTTCAAAGGAATCCACACAAGCGGTCTCTTGTAAAAAATTAAATTGCGCAGTTAAAGGCATTAGCTAATGTGGCTTGGTTCCTTTCTGCTTAACACGGTCCAAATCCACGTACGCAACTTACGGACAGTCGTGTTGTAATGTACATTTTAAATATCGCTTCAAAATGGAGGGACACTCGGCTATATAGTTTCTTTTTCTTTAAGGATATATTCTGAAATTTTTAGCGGGAAGTCAAACTACTAAAGAATAAGGGTAGACGCAGAGATTAAATGCTGTTGATTTTTTTCCACTACGGTAAGCGATATTCAAATACGGATCTTCGATATGCAATAACCAATCCAACATACTACAATAGCCTATTAATATATTACTACCCTTCAGCCTCTAAAATACAGCAACTACGATAAGTTTGAGCCAGGTTAAACTCGATTGTATATTCTGAAAAGAATAATGGCGTAAAATGCGCCTTCAAATAGAACGGTATACGATAAATAGTACACGTAGCGGGATCAGTCTTGATAATGAGATGGAGAATGGAGAGCGTAATTTGAAACCTGGATGCCAATCTGTTCTTGGGCTGTTTGAGCAAATATCCCCTCACAGGAAAATTTGTGGAGTAAACGACGCACAGCGCAGAGATTTAGAAAATTTACATGTACTTATAAAACATTGAAAAATGATTCGCTTCAAGATCAGAAATAGGATTGTATACATTGACAACGAGCTCAGCTTTTTAGTGATTCATACCCAAGGTATTTGCTGATAAAAATTAGATATAAGTAGTTAGGTATGCGACGCAACTCGTTCCAAACTGCATTATTCTAAATAATGTTCGAAAACACATTATGTCATTTTGTTGACATAAGGATTTAATACTGGTTGCTTTGTTATTCCTTTTGTTTTACGCACTTTTACCTGATTAATTTTTGAAAAGACACAAGAAGCATCATGTGCTTGAGTTTCAAATAAGCGAAACCTCATCAAGGGAATGACAATACATTATATTCAATCGATTGGCGGCAGAGTCATCATTATTATTATTATTATTATTTTTTATTTTTTTTATTTTTTTTTTTGGCCAAACGTTACGCAGTACATTTTGAGTGGATGCGTGAAGCAAATGTACGGTGTGAAACCTCAACTTACACTCAACACACATAATTGGCACACTGACATTTTTTGTTTCTAACTGAAGAACTGTATAAGATTGGAATCGTAGCCCTTCATTCAGTTTTTTCCAAAAGCGCCTGGCCAATAAATCAACTGGAGAAGTTTAGTTTTTCTGCGGTGTAGCGTTTATAAATCTATCTCCTAATTTCGGGTGTATGCTTGATAATATAGACGGTGAAACTACCAAACTACGTATCTCGGTTTGCGACGTCGCAGACTTCCTGCCATACTTTATTTTTTAAATAGAAAACTACTCAACGTCAATTCGTGAAAACTTCCGTGATTTTTCCTCTTTGTGCGGAGAAAAATCTGTGAAAATTGTAAGGAATGCTATTGATTTGATCTTCTTCAAAAAAATAAAATGTGAGTGGAGATTTTTAAACACCGCAAACGAGATACGTAGTCTGGTAGTTTCACCGTCGATATGTGAAAAAAACGCTAAGAAGTGGCCCGAGCTGTACGTAAAAAGGTGGTGAAATGGTGCTAGATTTTGCAAGCAAAGTTTGTTTTCCCCGCGAAATGATGTGGACCCAGCACCATTTCTCCACCTTGTTAATTAGTAATATGTAGACACTACAAAAGTAACTTAAAGGTGAGTACCTAATGAAAACTTGTTTTCATAAAGGCTTCTTTCTTTTTTTCAGTCTTCTTTTTGTTGCGATGCAAGTGTATTTTTCATGTGTCTCATATTATTTAAAATTATTTTTATATAATGCAGATCGTTTGTCGCCGCTGCGGGTTTTTGCCTATTTCCTAAAGCAATGTAATAAACTGCTCTACAAACTCCTTTTAGTTACAGGAACTGTTATCAGCACATATATCCGCTGGCATTACAGCCATGGCTTTTCCATACATTTTTCTATCGAATGTCCAAGATCCAATGGAGATCTTGGGATTGGGCCGTTTGTATTTTTTCGGAAAAAATCCGTTATTGTGAGAGCTTTTAGTCTTTAATTTGGGAATTTGAGTAGAGTAGCACTCACCTCATACTGATGGAGGGCAAAGAGCGTTAAGATAACGGGCAGAAGTTGCCTCATGTTGAAACTATGAGCACCGGGCGGCGATGTCAATGAACACTGAACAGGTCGTGGAGTGAGGCAGGCGAGACCATCAATTGTGTATATTTTTGGGGTGCTACACTGTAAAACTCTATCTATCAAAGGCTATCGCAGCGCTGCCGTGACACCACGCTTAACTTCATTTCAAGGTTCCAGAAACGTAAATATTATAAAGTATCGTGTTGCCGTACTAATATTATACAGGGTGTTTCAGACCACCCGTAGCAGGCCTTTTTCTCGGTTGTTTTAGGTTGCACGAAGTCGGGGACCGCGGGGTTGAATAGGGAATTGACCCCAAGGAATCCGAATTTCGTGGTCCCGAAGCCCCCCCCATCTCCCCCTTGGGGGGTAAAGGGGGGGTCACGATGCTAAAAGTCACGGTTCCCGACCGAATTTCAGATTGATCGCATCAGAATTGAAAAGTACGGAAAATTTCACGTGAAATTGACCCCTAAAAATCCATAATCGGCCCATCCAAGGCCCTAAAATGACCCCCTAAAGAGGGGGACAGTACCCCCCTCCATAATTTCTCTTTGGTCTCAAAATTGACGTAGATTCTCCAGAAAGAGATGGTTTCCCAGGTAATTGACCCCGAGAAATCCAAATTGCATGGTCCCGAAGCTCCTCTAGGCCCTCTTGGGGGGTAAACGGGGGGCCCAATTTTAAAAATCGGGGCTCCTTTCCGAATCGCAAATTGATTGCATCCAAATTGAGGAGCAGAACACTTTTACATCTTAAATGACCCCCAAGAGTTTTAATTGACCCCCCTGAACGACAGAAAGTAACCCATGAGGATGGGGGCTCCGCCCCCGCCAAAAATTTCTCAAGGTTCCTCTTTGGTCGCAGAATTGACGTCGATTCTCCAAAAAAAGGCGGTTTCTGCCCAAAAGGGCGGGTAGCGGAGCTTAGGAACCATGAAATTCAGAGTCCTCAGGGTCGATTACCTGGAAAACCGTCTTTTTCTGGAGAATCGACGTCAATTTTGCCACCAAAGAGGAATCTTGAGAAATTTTTGGCGGGGGCGGAGCCCCCCTCCTCATGGGTTACTTTCTGCCGTTCAGGGGGGTCAATTAAAACTCTTGGGGTCACTTAAGATGCAAAAGTGTTCTGCTCCTCAATTTGGATGCAATGCGGGCATCAATTTGCGATTCGGAAAGGAGCCCCGATTTTTAAAATTGGGCCCCCCGTTTACCCCCCAAGGGGGCCTAGAGGAGCTTCGGGACCATGAAATTTGGATTTCTCGGGGTCGATTGCCTGGGAAACCATCTTTTTCTGGAGAATCTACGTCAATTTTGAGACCAAAGAGAAATTATGGAGGGGGGTACTGTCCCCCTCTTTAGGGGGTCGTTTTAGGGCCTTGGATGGGCCGATTATGGATTTTTAGGGGTCAATTTCACGTGAAATTTTCCACACTTTTCAATTCTGATGCGATCAATCCGAAATTCGGTCGGGAACCGTGACTTTTAGCATCGTGACCCCCCCTTTACCCCCCAAGGGGCGATGGGGGGGGGGGTTTCGGGACCACGAAATTCGGATTCCTTGGGGTCAATTCCCTATTCAACCCCGCGGTCTCCGACTTCGTGCGACCTAAAACAACCGAGAAAAAGGCCTGGTACGGGTGGTCTGAAACACCCTGTATTAGAAGGAGGCTGTGACACCCAACCCCGGCTGGGCGCTTCGCGGGCCCCCGTAGTTAATCTAGATAGAGCGGGCTAATCTAGAGACTATATCCTATGGATAATCGTACAAATAATGAAAATCGGCCACGTGGATTTAACGGACGAACTGTGACAAAAAATGAATTTTTACATTGTTTCAGTGTGAGAATTAGAACTCACCTTTATCAAGTTAGGTACATGAAAAAATTTAGATGGCATTTCCAAAATCTGAATAAAGTGGGCTCATCTAGGGACTACCGTCGACTACAGCCTTAAAAAAATGAAAGTCGGGGAAACGTAACCATTGTAGTGATCTGCGGCTGAGCAGCCAAATTTAGAGTAGGGACCTAAAGACGGAGAAGTGGAGGCATTTATACGCTGCGGAATTCGTGGAACAGCGATGGAACACGCGGTGACGAAACATAAAAATTTAGGAGATCAAAGAGCTTATTATAATGTCACAGGCGCCTTTTCAACAAGAGTACGGAGAGCCTGACTTTACAAAATCTCGCCGACGAAAATTCCGACTTAATGTACCAATAATTATAAATGTTAATGAGGTTACAGTCTCAACAAATCTATGTGTGTAAATAGAAAATGCCGCCAGATGACGTCACCACTTTTAAATCTATTTTTATAGTATTTTCCATATCAGAAAAAACTTATAAGAAATACAGTTAAATCACTCTTCAAGCACTTCCAGACGAAGCAAAAAAAAATTTGCGTGCAAATGCTCCATTGTAGTGATCTGTGGCTGAGCAGCCGAATTTAGAGTAGGGACCTAAAGACGGAGAAGTGGAGGCATTTATGCGCTGTGGAATTCGTGGAACAGCGGTGGAATCCATCGCAAAAAATAGGATGCTCAGAATAATTAGAGAGTATTAGGATGCTCCATAGTTGAACTTTGATAGCAATGTTGAGGTGCTGGTTCAAAACCACACCGGTTTTCAATACGATGTTAGCGGCTCCAAAATTAATCACCAATTACTGAACGAGGAGTCGCAGCACGCTCTTCTTGGAGTTACTGCCTTAATCTTATCAATCATCACCGAGTCCTGAAAATTCATATCAAGCATCCGAGGACCATATCGACGGTGAAACTACCAAACCACGTATCTCGGTTTGCGACGTCGCAGACTTCCTGTCATACATTATTTTTTAAATGAAAAACTACTTAACATCCAGTCTTGAAAATTTCTGTGATTTTTCCTCTTTGTGCGGAGAAAATTCTGTGAAAATTTCAAAGAATGATATTGATTTGGTCGACTTCAAAAAAATAAAATGCGAGCGTAGATTTTTAAACACCGCAAACGAGATACGTGGTTTGGTAGTTTCACCGTCGATATACTACAAGCCTGTAGTGAGAAATTTTCCTTTTCAGCACCTTCCAAAATGAACTTATTTCCGACTAATCCAGATTTCTGCACCATAGTGCGCCGTCTTCGAATGAGTTTCGTGTTAAGGAGAGGCGCCAGCAAGAGCTTTTTTCGACCGACTTTAACAGAAAAACACGCACTAAGTCGTATTTTGGAAGAAAATGGGCTGGTCGTACCTAAACTACCTCCGTAAGAACTACTCATGACCTGATATATAAATAGGTTGTCGTGGCCTCGGTCTTGGGCAGGTTTTGGAAGGCGGCGCATAAAATGTGCGGAGAGGAGAGTGAGGTCAGTGCGCTGCCGCGAACACACGAAGGGTAGTACGATAGTTTTCCCATTTGCCTACGCGACCGATCGCGATGAAGTTTTTGAACCCTTGGCGCTTGATTTCCGCTATCAACGTTGCGAGAATGTGTCCCACATTCATAGACGAGAGTAATTTACCACAACACCTACTTACTCCAGAACATGGCTAGATTTACACACAGGTCGTCGATGCCGCGCTCGACGGCGCGGGGGCGCATAGGCGTTGGGGGGGGGGACTAGAATTGAAAATAGTATCATCTGCCCCTCCCCCCTAGAAAATCTGGATCGTGGGAACAGACCTCCGTTGAGGATTATTTCCTCCCTAAATGTAAAGTCTAAATTGAAAACACCGTGTTCATGCACTTAGTATTTTCTATAATTTTCATCATGGGAGCCTCTAAATGCATCCAAATAGAACTTAAGTTTCAAAAATTTTCCGGATGTATCCAATACAACAATTCGAAATTATTTTTTCCTGAAAGTAAAAAAATAAACGTATTTTTATGCAGAAATTATTATGCAGTATTATAATGTACAGATGGCATGACCCCCCCCCCCCCCCCCCCCCCCC